GAAAATGGCCTTGATGCCAAGCATCTCATCACCATCGTTGAGAATGATGTCCGCACTCGTCGCCGCTCTGTTTGCACCGCTGGCGTTGCGCATCCACGTTGCGAATCCGAGCGAGAGGCGGGAGGGGCGGTGAACACACATGTCGCCTCCAGCAAGTTCGAGGTTCGCCGCCTCATGACTGGGCGGCCGGTCGACGCTGCCCTCGGTGTCATAGCCTTCTGTAATGTGCCCGAGGAGGAGGTGTGGGCGGGAATGAGCGAGGGAGTCGCTAGCATCGAGCGCGAGTTTCTGCAGCACGGGACGGAGGATGACCGGCTGTGCCTCCGCAAGCAGGAGAAGCGAGACTCCAAGGGGCGCCAACAGCAAGCCTATCCCTTCCCTGTGACCCTCTCCTTCATCGCCGACGGCCTGAGGCGGCTGCGCGCTGTGTCGGCCGCTCGCCGCGACGCCAATGATGTCGGTCGACGTGTGGCGTGGTCTGCGCAATGTTGAGAGCGAGGTGGACTTCTTCGCCAAGGGCGGCACCGAGCTCGCCCCGATGAGCGGGACCACTTCTTTGTTGGTGGCAGTGCAGTACGCGCTCGGGCATGCGCAGGGCGACACCGTGCACGCCCTGCTTTTTAAGATTGTCGCGCGATCTGTTATCGACCGCGGCGCAAACCTGAGCTTCCTGAGCTGCTTCCCCGGCGAGGCCGAGTGGTGCTACCCGCCACTGACCTTCCTGAGCCCGACGGGGCGGCGCGTGGGCATTAAACCATTATGGATGGGGGGGGGGGGGGTTGGGGGCCGGGGCACACACTAGGGCACACATGTGTCCCCGGTCTTACATGTCGGGACGTCGCGACCGCGACAGCGCGAGTGCCGAGTGCAGTCCCCGAAACTGAGACTGTGATCTGGCGGCGTATAGAAGAGTCAGAAAACTGTGTGCCACGCAACGAAATTGTTTTCGCCCTCCCTGGACGCGTTTGGGTAATCGCGCGAAAGGCACGAGAAGGGCGTAGGTAGGTAGGTAGAAAGGTGAAGAACAGCCAGGCTCGGATGTAAGGGCGTGAACTAAAAAAAGAAAAAACCAAAGGAGGCGCGATGGATTGTCACGCCGAGAGCTCTCCTTCGAGTTGGTCTTCGCCGCGGCTCGCCTCACACACGAGCTGCTTGAGCATTTCAGGTATGCAAGCCCGGCCGCCCCGCGACTCTCCCATGCGCTACGCAGCTCTCGTACTGGGATGATCAACTCTGGCCCATTACCTCATACTTCTCTCTCTGAGCATGCTCACCAGAACCTCGCATCGCCTGACGACCGACGCTTCGCCCCACAGGTGCAAAGAACTGGTTGCCCGACGCGCGAACGTTCCCTTCGAACAGCTAATGTTGCGCCTTTATCTCGTCCTCGCGTGTCTAGCTGGCGACGCACGTGGCTCTTCCGAGGGGTCCCAGATCCTTGAGCGCTTTGCCGATGAGTACACGCGCCTCAACATCTCCGCCTCTGTCGACTCCCCGCCGAGCCGGCTCGAGATGATGACGGCAGTCGTGGATCGTATGTCCACAGCCGAGCTGATTGACAGCGGCCTCTGGCTCACGGATGACGAGATCGATGACGAGCTCGGTGTTGCTCACCACAAGCAGGACGGCGAACACTTAGGCTCCGGCAGGCGCCTGAATCGTCTGGTGGAGCCATACTCTGACATCCACTCCAACGCCATCGTACACAAAGGAGGTGAGGTCTACTACTGCTTCGACGGGAGTGCCGATTCAACCCGCAGGAGCGCCTTTGAGAAGGCGGTCAATCGTGCCGAAGTAGAGATCAACCAACTCGGCTTCTGTCTCACTTTCGTGCGCACGTATGTATGCGATCATTCGGCGATTACGGTCGGCCGGTACGATGACGACATGTGCTCCGTGAAGTTCCCCTGGGACGGCGAGGGGATCAAGCTCAACATGGGGTGGTGCAATGATGACACCCGTTTGGGTGACATCGTCCACGAGATTGGGCACGCTCTGGGTCTCGGGCACACGCACAAGCGTCCCGACCGCGACGCGTATGTGATCATTCACTACGACAACATTGTATCCGACCAGCATGATCAGTACACGATCGACGAAGATTACTCCACCCATCTGCCCTATGACTACAACAGCATCATGCACTACCCGGCGATCGGGGGCTTTGCAATCGACCCGTCGAAAAACGCGATCTCGACCAAAACCTCCGATGCTCGCATTGGGCGGTCGACCGGCGGCTTCTCCCTGACCGACGCGCGCCAGATCCGCGACATTTACGGCTGCTCGGAAACGTGTTGCAGCTCGCTGATTGTCAGCCTCTCTGGCGCTGCTTCCAGCAACCAGGGCAGCCGGGAGGACGTTTACACCATCGTGCCCGGGTTGTCGCAGGGCGGCATGCCAGTGTACAAACAGGGGGCGAGTTCCAACTACCTTTACTACTGGCCCGAATTCACCGATTGGCGCATCGGCTCTGACTACTTAAAGGCATCAGCTGGCATCATTTCCCTCGACAACAAGCTACAGTGCCCGCAGCAGGCTTCCACCTGGGCGTACCGGAATTCCAACAACTGGGTGCCAAGCGACAGCGTTTCTGTCAAGTGCTCCGTCTTGGACAGCTACGTGCTCGTGACGAGCGGGACTTGTAATGATGTCCCAGGGCGCGCGCGCATCACGAGCGCCTTCGAATGCGCACAGGCGGCTCATGAGCTTCGCCCCTTTCTCAACGGCTATTCCGATGCCGACGTCACCCCAACGGTCCAAGAGGGCTCTGCTTCGCACGACCCCCCGGGCTGCTGGTTCGAAGATGAGTGGGGAACCGATGATTTGTACTTCAACCCCGGCACACAGACGGGCGATTGCTCCACGGACGACAAGTGCCTCTGTCGGTTCCACACGCTCCGGCCGCCGTCTCCGCCGCTCCCGTCTCCGCTTCCGCCTCCCCTCGTGGTCGCCGGTGGCGGAGGCTGCGCCCCCGATCTCGATGACATGGAGTATTACGCCGCCGGGTTCACTGCATCGGGCGCTCCGTACTACCGTCACCCATCGTCCGTATTCTACATCTACTGGGACCCCGACTGCGACGGCGGCAGCCCGGGATCTGCTCGTTGGATCGTGGACAGCGATGCACCGAGCACCACCGCATCGAGCGACCTCGATGGCGACGGGAGCTGCAGCTACACGGCCCACATCAACTCTGCCGCCTCCTCCTCGCCGCCGCGCGGCACGAACACCTGGACGGTGTGGTGCTACGGCTCCTGGGCACAGATAGACCTGACACTCTCAGCGCCATCTCCATCACCTCCCCCTCCGCCGCCGCCCCCTCCGCCTTTTGTTGTCACTGGGGGATGCAGTCCTCTCCTTGCCAACGTGGAGTACAACGCAGTCGGCTACACGGCCTCAGGAGCGCCGTACTATCGCGATTCCTCGTCATCGTATTACATCTACTGGGACCCCGACTGCGACGGCGATGGATCGGGATCTGCTCGTTGGATCGTGGACCCAACCGCACCGAGCACCACCGCATCGAGCGACCTCGATGGCGACGGGAGCTGCAGCTACAAGGCCCGCATCAACTCTGCCGACTCCTCCTCGCCCCCGCTCGGCACGGCGACCTGGTCGATGTACTGCGACGGCTGGACGAACAACGATCTGACGCTAACATCTTCGGCATCACCGTCGCCGCCACCACCTTCCGCGTCGCCATCGCCGCCCCCGTCGCCGCCACCCGCCGTGTCGCCGTCGCCACAGTCAGAAGAGCCAGGCTCGTTCCGGGTCGTCGCTTCGTTCACCGCAACCCGCGGCGATCTGTACGACTTCTACGACGAGGCCACCAAGAGGAACATCCTCGAGAAGCTCGCCGAACTGGCCGGCTTTGCCTTCGTGCCGCTCGATTCGACGATCAGAGTCGATTCTGCACCTTGCTCTATGGGCACTTGCGCAAACGTGGCCGTGATTGCCACGTTCCCGGTGGTCACGCAATCGGAAGTCAGCTCGGCTCAGCGCAACCTCGAGCAGTACTCCGGGGCCGCTGGCCAGGATGCGTTCGAGGAGCAGATGGGACCTATCCTTGCTGGGGTGGGGGCGTCCGTCGAAACTGCCGTCGTGGTTGAGGTCGAAGAAGACCCGAAGCCAACCGCTAGCGGCAGCGGCGGCTCCCCTGTGGTCGCCATTGCAGCGGCCGCGGCTGGGGTGGCCGTCGTGGCTGCCCTCGGCGGTGGCTACGTTTACTACAAGAAGAAGCGCCGCACTGAAGAGCCATCGAACTCGGTGGTGGCCAAGATCAAGCAGGGCGGCACACCAGAAGCGGCGAATGTGTGACGCGGACGCTAGCACCGCCAACGACCTATCTCAAACCACAAACGGTGACGCCTCCTCGGGCGCACCCGTTGATTATGACAACCATGCGCTCCCCGGGGGCCTGAACTTTGTTGACTACTCATGCCTTTGTCGACTATTCATGACCCTCCCTGAGCGAGAGCACTCCACAGCGCGCAGCTGTCGTCGGATACTGTCTGTTTGTACTCAGTACTGTCTCCCGCCCCACGCTGTCCATCGACGCCGTCCACACCACCGTCACACGGACCTGCAGCTCTCTATGTGTGTATGAGGTAGGTGTGCGTGTTGCTGGCCCTAAAACTTTTATTTGGACAAAAAGGGGAGCCGAGGTCCCCGCCCCGCCCAATGTGCTTTTGCTGTCAGGCTGTCAGACCAGGGCTCAGCCAATGCGCGGTCACTCGACCCTCTTTGCGCAAGGAGGTTCTCTTTTGTGGGGTGGGTGGTCGGCGACTCTAGCCGGGCTCCTACCGACGGGGGACAAGCACTAGCCATCGTCCACGTTGTCCCTCGGGTCCCTGCTGCTCCTGATCTCCTCGTACATCTCCTCCTCGAGAGCTGATCAACTGCGGCAGCCGGCACGTGTTTGTTTTTCTTCTCTCACCCTCCCGGAGCAGAGCGCTAAGCCTCTCAACCCATTTTCACACACATCGCGTCGCTGAGACCTCTCACCCCCGGTGGTACATCCACTGCTCCCCGCCCGTCACCGCGCCGAACCGGTAGATGCACTCGCGCACCGGCCGGGCGCGGCCGCGAACCTGCTCGCGCGTGCACTCCTCGGTGAAGTCGCAGCAGAGTCCGTACCCGTCGACCGAGATGAAGGGCGGTAGCTGGGAGGTGCGCGAGGAGGAGACCATCCGCATGTAGACGGAGCGGGACGTGTGCGAGCCCATGCTGCCGACGAAGAGGTCGGCGGTCGAGAGGAGCTCGAGCTCCGCCGCGAGCGAGAAGGGCGCGTTCTCGTCGAGGTCGGACCGGAACTCCATCCACGCGCGCTTGCGGAACTGCTGCCGCGGGTAGTAGACCTAGAGCGGGGTCGACCAGCTGATCACTCGTCGACCGGCAGCGGGAGCTGCTGTCGGCGAGGCGGGGCGAGGCGGGGACCCAGTTGAAGTCGCGCTCGCCCTGCAGCGCGCGCACGACCTCGCCGGTGTGGTCGTCGGTGGCGAGCAGCACCGTCCGCACGCCGTACTTTGCGCGGAGGGTCTGCAGCTGCTGGCGGTACACGCGCCACGAGTAGCAGCGCCGGCCGACGCCCTCGCGCGTGGGCTTGCCTGGCCGCTTCGGGTCCGGCCGCCACATCGCGTTCCACGGGCCTGGCTCGTCCGCCTTGCGGTCGCACGAGTCGCCCTGCCGCACGTGCACCGCCGCGCTTCTACTCCACGCCCACCTGAATCCTGAGGCTGCGCAATGACGTCGCTCTTTCTCTCCTCCTTGCGCTCCCTCCGCCGCCCCCCGCACTGCCACCCGAGGGCACCGAGGCAGCAGCGAAGTTTCTGTCTGAGCTCGGCCCCGGTATCAACATCATGGCGACCATGCCAACGCCGCTTCCGACCCCCGTGCCGCCAGCCTCGCCACCACCCGCAATCGCGCCGCCCTCGCCACCGCCCTCATCCTCACGCCTGCTACAGAAGAACACAAACGCGCGCAGAAGAATTCTTAAGATACAAGCCTCTCTCACAGCACACTGGCACGACAAGGGCGCGGACTGGCGCGGACTGGCACACACACAGGCTCACCACCGGAGCCGCCTAAGCGACTCCGTTAAGAACGGCAATGCACTCCGCACCATGCACAATGCCGCTCTCCCCGCACGCTAGCTCGTTCACCGTCTGCCACGCCACGGCGGTGTGGAGGACGACAGACAAGCGCTGCATCTGCAGCCCGTGCCAGTTCTTGGTGGTCCATGTGACCTCGTCCAGGTGCTGAGCGTGCGAAAGTTTGTTGCTCAGCTGGTTCGCCGCCTCCCTCAGGGTGCTGCGAACCTCCTTTCCAAAGCCTCCGAAAGCCTCAAAATCAAACAAGCGTAGATCGCAATCCTGCTGCCGCGCAAAGGGGTAATCGCCAGGCAGCTCCTTGAGCTTTCCCTTGGGGGCATCCTCCTCCTCCCCCTCCTCCCCCTCCTCCTCGGCCTCCTCCTCCTCCCCCGCCACCGCCGCTGCCGTCGCTCCCGACGGAGACCACTTGCCGCGCCCTTTGACCAACTTGAGCAGCCCGGTCTCCGTGTTGCCAAAACGCACATAGGCCCCCTTCCAGCCGAGCTCTCCGTCGCCGGCCGTGTCCTTGCCCTGGCTCGCAAGCGAGCTCGTGAGCTTCAAATCGGCAACAAGGCGCCTGTGCCCCCTGCCGATGTTTGCCGCCGCCACGTCAGGTTGTTTTGGATTACTGTAACTGAGGTGTGCAGTCGGCTCCATCTCGATGATCATGCCCCACGCCGAGCGGAGGCATTTGATCAAACGTTTGAGTAGAAATGTGGCATTTTTTTTACAGTGGTGCAAGAAAAGGAAAAAAAAAGAACGGCGCCGCAGGCGCCGGCCGGAGGCCGGGAAGAGATGGGAAGGGGAAAGGAAGGAACAGGGAGGAAGAAGGAAGGTCTAGATAACCAGTCGGAGCCCCGCGGCGGCGAGATGCGCGGTTGCGCGCTCCGGGTCGCTTGCGATGGATTACCAGCTCGCCTTCTCTGTCGCTCTCCTGGCCTAGCCCATCAGTAGCAACCCTGAGCTGTCCCAGACCGCACTTTCTTATCTCGGGTCTTCAAGCTCGCACCGGCTCGTGATGCTCCGGTGTAGGGCTCGAGAGCACTCCCGGTGGCCCCGTGCCGAGCGATTGCGAGGGCTTTCCGGAGGTCAATATCGGCGCCACCGACCGTGAAATGTCCCGACCCACAGCCCACATGCACCAGACGCATGGATGCAGTAATACTATGTAGGCCATCTCTCCCAGGGATTTGAGCAATAGCCGCCAAAGGTGCTTTTTGGCAGTTCATCGCGACACGTCCAGGTGCCGACAAAGCGGCTTCCCAGCTCACCACCTCGCCTTCTCTGTCGCTCTCCTGGCCCAGGCCCATCAGTATCAAGCCTGAGCTGTCCCAAACCGTCCTTATCTTGGGTGATGAAGCCCACTCTGGCTCATACCAGGCCTCTTACGGCCTCACACACGCCTGTTTCACCCACAGACACCGCAGGCACGCACTCCCACTTCACACATGCTCAAGCACAACCCCACCCAAGCACAGCCCTGCTCAGAATGGGCAGGGTCCACCACTTGGTGACCCAGGTAGCCTCTGGCTCGTCACTGCACTTGGCTCCTCTGCAGCGATCTCGCGCTCTCGCCACGACAGCACGCCGACGGCAAGCTTTGAGGTCCGTCTGGTGGACCTGCTGTGGCCACAGCCGCCCCTCACATGCAGCTCGCACCATGGCTCGACACCGGGCCCGCTCAGGTTGGTCGTGGCGGCGTGTGTGAAGGATGCGCGGCCGAGCCGCTGGCTGGCGCCGCTTGAACGTCCGAGATGGCCGCCACCTCCGTCAGGATGGACGCGGCATCAGCCCCGCTGCTTCCGGCACGAACGGGTGGTGTGGCGTGGGAGCGCCGGTGACGTTTGGCTTAGGAACCACTTGGGTCCGCCATCGATGGGCCGGCAGGCGAGGCCGCCTGCCGCGCCATGTGCGAGGTGAATACGTCGTGCCGCTTCCTTCGGCACGTCAGACGTGTACTCGCCGAGCTCGGCACTTCGAAGCTCGTGCAACTGGCCGCGCCGGACCACCTGCCCCGCGTCTATCGCACGGGCCTGTACTATACCTCAAGGACTCGCCCAACGAGATCACGCTCTACCCGGCGCTGATCCCGTACACGCACAACTACCCAGCGACGGCCCATGCCGCGCTCATCAACCTTCTAGAACCTGACGAGGGCTCGCCCTTCCTCATCGGTCCCAGCTACGGGCTCTACTCGGACAATGCGCAGGAGAGTGTATGCAAGCCGAGCTTCAAACAGGTGGCGGGCGGGTTCGTCTCATACCACGATCGCCCCTCGCAGGAGTGGGTGCGCAACCGGCAGATCTTCCGCTTGTACGAGCTCTTCACCCACACGTGGGGCGGTGCAAGCAAGGTGCCTGAGATGGGCAAGTGCTACGACCCGTGAGCGTGAGCACACACAAGCGTCCCAAGCAAGGCGAGGCGCGCGATACCCGATACTCGACCCGACGATGCCCGGGAACGCGCATGCTGTTGCTGGATGCCCCAAATCCCTGCCGCTGGAGGGTGCGAACTGATGGGATGGACTGACCTCGCCTCTCACAAGTGTGTGAAAACCTAGTTTGTTTTTTCCTCACCACAGTGCCCCACTCTCAGTGTGCACAGAACAGCAAAAAACAGGCACAACGCGGCCTCCCCCTAACACACACGCTGAGAGCGGCGCAGCCGGGCAGCAATTTACGTATCATGCACGGAGCGGAAAGGAGGGAGCTTCCCAATGGTGCCTACTTCTCGACGACGGCGTACATCTCGTACGTGACGTTCTCCCAGGGCGTTTCCTTGACGCAACCCTCCCAGAAGTCGCTGGAGAGGTATTTCTCAATCTCCTCGGTGCTCTGGAAGAAGTAGCAACCGCCCCCGCGGTTCTTCTCGCCCCAACGGGCCGCGAGGAAGTGCTTGACGATGAGGCCGTCATGCTGAGCAAACATGTTGCCGACGTTCGCGGACATCTCCTCGCTCTCGAGCATGCCGCGGAAGTTGGGCGGGTCCAGCTTGACGGTGCCGTTGATGATGAGCACGGCCTTCACGGAGGAGAGCTTGCGCCCGGACGCCTCGAGGACCTTCTCGGAGCCGGGAAGCACGTCGTAGCTGCGGTGGCCGCTAACCTCGGCGCCCTCCATAAGCTTCTCGTCCGAAAAGCCGAAGAGGACGCAGGCTTCAGTCGCAGGCTTGGTGCCCATCGAAGGTGTGGCAGTGAGGGTCTTACCCTCGAGGGTCAGCATGGAGGTTGCGCCGTCGGGTCGCTCAGTGCCGGCGGGGGCAAGCTGAAGGAAGGAGGCGAGAGACATCGTGCAGTCCTCCCGCCGGGGTAGATCGAGTTCTCCGACGACGAGAAGGCGCCGCGCGTCCAGCAGGCCTAACTCTCGTCTATCAGCGCGCCGCCTAACTCTCGCCCGAGGTTCGCCGACGTGGCGTTTTTTTCATTTTATGTAAGGTAAGGTAAGGTAAGGTAAACTTCTCCACACACACGAGGTGGTGGGGCAAGGGGGGGTGTATGTAGCTCTTACGTACATTCCCGTAGGAGACTCTGCTGACAGGGTTTGCGTTTTTTTGAGTGGGGGTCTCAAGGGCACTTGGAATGGACACCCGATGAGCTCAGGATCCTGCTGGTGCTCCACAGACCTCCAGAGGCCACAGAGCGAGTCCGCGCCCAAAGCCACCTGCGACTTCACGCTGCCAAGAGCCGCCGACTAATGGACTAAACATGGTTTTCGAGCACAGTCCTTACACCACGTCGATCATGTGCTCCGCCGCGACGCTCTCCAACCGGGCGTAACCGCCACCGGGTACCCGCAACTCGTACGTCCCGCTGCCTACTTGCTGCGACACCCACGCCGCATATCGGCCCACATATCGCTGTCTTGCCGCGTCCGTTGCCCGCGGCCATCCTCGCTTCGGTGCATAAGAATCAGCAAAGGCTGCTGCGAGCCCCCACAGAATGGCGCTCGGTGTCTTGACGGCGCTTCAATCGCCGGCTGTCTGGGTGGCGGCACTCGGTGTCTATTGCGGTGTGTACCTGCTGCTGCTAAAGAAGAAGCTGCCGCGCACTTGGTGGCTGCCGCTCACCAAATGCTACTTCTGGCCGATGATTGGACCGACGTTCGTCGCCCGTCGTTTCATCTCCCCGCAGCCGTACTTTTCGGTGGTCGACGATGTGCTTCTGCTCGGCGCTGTGCCGCTGGCCTGCATGGGGCATCCGCGTGAGCTGCACGATATGGGCGTGCGTGCGGTCGTCAACATGCAGGCCGAGTACGGCGGCCCTGTCGCCGCCTACGCCGCGCTCTCGCCGCCGATCGAGCAGCTTCACCTGCCGGTGACGGATCACATGGAGCCCACTCTCGGGCAGCTGCAGCAGGCCGTCGCCTTCATCAGCGAGCAGGTGCAGAAGGGAGCAGAGGAAGGGAAGTCGCGGGTCCTCGTGCACTGCAAGGCGGGGCATGGCCGTGGTGCGGCCGTTGCCTTCGCCTACCTCTTGAGCGAGCATGGGCTTTCGATGGCGGAGGCGCAGCGGCGGCTGAGCGCCGTGAGGCACGTGCGGCGGAAGCTGCACAGGCAGGTCGGCCTCCTCGAATACGCGAGGGCTGTCGGCGCCACACCGACAGACTCGGGAAACGGTCTTCCTCCCTTCATCCAGGAGAAGGCTGCCCACGAGATGCTCTGACCGCGTGAGCGCTCCCTGCACCCTCCCTGGCGGGCACCGAGGCTGAGCCCGCTCTGACCCTCTGTCCTCTGAGGAGGCTGCGCGGGCCGCGGTACACGGTACACCTCGCCCCCAGAGGCCAGAAACGGTCAGACTGCGAAATCGTATGGCACTTGGCGCGGGTTATTATATTACATAGTACCCGACAAAGTGTACAGCATGCACCGAGCGCTGCTGCGCCCCCCCCCCAAAAACACGTCTCCACGCTCCTGCATCCGTCCCTCTGTGGAAAAAGTCATCCCCGCGCCTCAACGTCTCATGCCTCTCCCTCTTTCGCCGTCCCTTGTAATCGCCCTCTCATGCAGACCGCACCACGGTAAGGCCCAGCTGCGACACGAGCTCGTCGACTTGAGCGAGGAGCGGCCCCTGAGACGCACGTCGGCGCGCGAGTCCAAGTCAGTCGCTCGGGCGCCTCTTTGGAAGGGGAGGGGGGTCGAGGGGCGGGCGGACAGGGGGAGGGGGGAGGGTGAAGGAGAAGGCGGCGGCGGCGGCGGGGGGGGGGGGGGGGGGTGTTCTTCCCCCTCCTCCCTCTCCCCTGTTGTCTCGCGGCTTTTCCCGCTTGCTCCCGCTCCTCCGGGCTCTGTCTCCCTTTCTTGTCTCCTTGCG